ATTCGGAGTTCGGTGCGCGATGCGATTCGAAAGAGAAGTGAATAGAGAGAGAGAGAGAGAGAGAGAGAGAGAGAGAGAGAGAGAGAGAGAGAGAGAGAGAGACAGGCATTGATTGTTGCAATATGGAAACCTCTTAAGATTTCAAAACCATGGAGTTGCCCTTGGTGACTGTGTTGATCACAGTGGGGCTCACTAGAGATGACATAAGCCAAGGCCATGTGCTTCAGGTAATGGTAATGGTTCATGTAAAAAAATATGGTCATATCATGACTAATGCACCCTATCCCATTGAATGAAAGAAACAAAAAAAAGGTGGTGGTGTTGATAGTCTACGCGGTATAGAGATGTGTGGTGGATGCCCGCACTGGTTGGGTCAGGGAGGCATTCAAAGGTGCGAGTGGGAGGGTTTGTATGTGTTTTTGTTTGCTATCAATGCTATGTGAAAATGTATGCAGCCAGGACATGTTTTTTTGTTTTTTTTTTTACTTCAATGCAACGTAGGCTCCATCTATTCTGGGGAGCAGCAATCGGGTTCCTTTTCCACCGGCAAGTCAAAGAAGTACATGTTTTACTCGTGCAACACCCCTCCCCATCATGGCTGGGAGGTGGGGATGGCATTGATTGCTTCCCTTGGGAAGGATATTCCACCCATCTCCCCTGCGTAAGTTAGCCTCATCCACTACCATGTAAATTTGTAGGGGTTGTGATGAGATCCAGCCTGTCACCACCCGGTGCCGGTACCGGTGCCAAACAACTCTCGTCCCTGAGGATCCCTCGGGATGTTGAAGATCCGGGCTAGCTGGAGATTCCCTGTCGAAGATCCGAACCAGCTGATGATTCCCAACTCCGGTCAAACAACCGAGCCCGGTTGGTTGTCTGGCTACAACGGAGGTACTAGGCTGGCGAGTTCCTGACTGGTGACCCCGTGCTCCCTCCTCGGAGCCGGTAGGCTGTCAAATAAGCTTTTGATCAGCTAGAGCGTTTATCCCAACCAGAACCTTTCCTGTATATGTTTATTGATCTGAAACGGTTTTCACCTTTGCAGAGGCAGATGCAGATCCCAGGGTTTGATCCCCAGACCTTACCTCACCCATGTACAGTATCGAGCTGACCCCTGAGTATTTGAACCTGTAACCTGTGTATTCGCAAACAGTTGTTAGGCTGTTTTACGTCCGTAGGTTGTAGGGGAATCGATCTGTAGACCTGTCGGGTAGGAGTCTTAGTGAGTTCTAGAAATCGTAGCTGTAGCTCCTCTGAACGGTCAAGGTCATAACTGCTACAGTCCTGAAGGGTCAAGGTCGTAGCTGCTACAGTACTGAAAGGCCAAGCCCACGGTCTTCCAGAAGGTCCGGAAGTGGCCTTTCGAGTTTCCCCTCACGTTTTACACAGAGGGGCAGAAGCAAGTGGGTAAGTGGTGTGCCGTGGTAATCTGGCTGGAACGAAGGGTAGGGCTCTGTAGTCCATAGAGAGTCAGTTAGTTTAAGTTAAAGCCAGTTAGGGGGAGAGTGGTGAGGAGTGGAACCGTCACTCGGTCGTGCACCTATCACCATGGTTGAGACACATACTGGAACGAGTATTACCCCCTACACAGTCGAAGAGGAGGCAAAGGCCGCCGCCATCCTGAAAGAGAGAAAAGAGAGGAAGGAGGAGGAACAGGCGACGAAGATGACGAAGATTGAGGAGGAGATGGCCAGAGAGAAAGAGAGGTTGAAGAAAGAAGAAGAGAAGTTAAAAGCAGTAGAAGAGGAGGAAGAGATAGAAGAAGAATCACTGGAGAGGAGAAGAAAGAAGCAAAGAGGGGAATCCGGGGGAACAATCCGGGGGAACAAGAGATGACCAACTGGAGAAGAAGATCACAGAGTAGGTGGCGAATTTATCTTTGGGAGAAGAAGAAGAAACGTTGATGTATGTACCCAGGGAAGAGCAGGAGGCGGCCGTAAAGGCTTGGGAGGTGGAAGAGGATCCACTCAAGCGACAGGCCATGGAGGATGAGACAAGGATGGAGTGGAAGCTACGGCTCATGAGGGAGAGAAAAAGGAGAATGGAAGCGGTGAGCCAGGCGGCGAAGGAGTTGGAGGAAGTAAAAAAGCAGAAAGGCCAGATAGCGGTACAGGTGGACCTCCTGGGTAAGATGGAAATCATGGCGAAGAATATCGAACGCCTGACAGCGGCTCAGGAAGAGCAATATCAGTTTATGAGAAGTCACGACATTGCCTTGCGTTCGATACGATTGGGATTCAGGGAATTTGTGCGGGAGTTAGTGGTACAGGTGAGATCAGAAGTGAAAGCCCGCCTAGACAGCATAGAGCGCTCTTGCATAGGTGCCATAGAGAGTGCCAAACTGGCCGCTCACAAGGAGGAAGTACGCCCGCGTAGGGAGCCCGTCAAAGTCAAGTTCCCCAATTCCTACAGTGGAAAGGAGGAGAACTGACAACTGGGTGGCTAATATAAAGTCCTACGTGCACTTGCAAAAGGTCTCCCCAGATGAGCATGTTCTAGTCGCCATTCACGCGCTAAAGAAGGAGGCCGCCAGTTTTGCACGTTCCCTAGTTTGCACTGCGAATTGCAACGAGGATGTAGTTGCTTACTCCGCGTTTACTCCCCTCGCCAATTTGTTGCGAGAACGATTCGCAGATGTTTCGCGCAGTGTCAAAGCCTCCGATAAGTTGCAGACTATCCACTATTGTCAGTGGAGGAGTGCCAAAGCACTCCAAGGAGTAATGGACGAGTTGGTGGCTGTTCCTGACCATGGGGTCACAGAGACCGAACTGGTCAACCTCTTCTACCGGGCTATGCCCGAATCGTTACGCGGGCACTTCTTTGAGAAGAGCCAGCAACCTACCATGACCTATGACGCATTGAGCAGGGAAGTGGTAACTTTTGAAGCACGGTCCATGTTAGTGTCCACGTTCTGGCACAAGGACCTTGGCAAAGGGAAGAAGTGGAAGGGTCACACTATCTCTGGGCAGATCAAGACCAAGGACCGTCTGCTCCTTACGTTAGATGAAGGTAGTGTGGAGGAAGTCGAGCAGATAGAGTGGGGGCTAGAGGAGGAGAGGAGGAGAGTAGCGCTAGTCAGGGGAGGACTTACGCTGTTGTCGCGGTCGGAGGGAGGCAACAAGGAAGAGGAGGAGGCCAAGGCCAAGGGGGACGGGCCTCAGGTGGCCGTTTCCAGGGCGATCAGGGGGTTGGCGGTAGACGAGGAAACCGCCAAGCGGGAGGAAGGGGTCAAGTTCCCCCGCAAAAGCGTTCTGGCAACCGTTCACCTAATAGGGGTAATAGGTCACCCTATAGGAGAGGTGGTTGGCACCCAGGTCTGCCACAGGGCCGACCTTGGGAGGATTTGGGCGTGGACCAGCGCGTCTGGCAGCATCGTGTGGATCAGAGGCAGTGTGTATTTTGCGGTGACCCTGGCCACATCATTCGATATTGTCCAAAGTATAGAGAGGCCCGATGGGCTGCCCAACAGGCACAAGGCAGCCGCCGGTAGGGGTTGCAACTGCCCTTACCATAAGGCCATGTGGGGAAACGAGCGCGAGCCGGCAAGAAACTCCCACACCACATGAGCCTATGGCAGAGGTTGCAGGTCGGTGCCTAGATAGCTGTCCTGAGACTGCTTGTGTCAGGGTCTCTTTAGGCACCTCCCTCACAGGCGTGGCTGACGAGTTGAAGGAGAGAATGCTCGCCTGGGCCAAGATGAAGAAAGAGAGTAAGGGACAACTAGTTTTGGTAGATGTAGAGGTCTTTAGAAGTAGAGTAGGAACCCTTATAGATTCAGGGGCTACCCGGAGTTACATTAGCCGTAGAGTGTTGAAGAAGCTGAGGCTAAACTTGAAAGTCCAGAAATTGGAAGACCCCATAGTTAGTGTCCTCGCGGACAACCGCACTATGCGCGTTGAGGACTACATAGAGGGAGTCCAGGCGTATTTCCGCCTAGAGAAAGATGGGAAGGTGAAGAAAGTTCTCCATTCCCTGACTCTCCTCGTACAGGACGACCTTCCTTTCGATATAGTCCTAGGTATGAACTGGGGAGAGGCAGCAGGGGCCGCACTCCATCTGAGAGAGCATGAGTGTAGGCGACAGGTGAGGTTAAGATTGCCCGTTTGTTCCATGCGTCGAGTGTAGACAATACATTGGCACATTGTTGTCTCAGTGCTGTGAAAAAGGAGAAATTAGAGGAGCAGGTCTTCGTAGTTTACGTAAGGCATGTCACTGAGCCTAAGGAGGAGAAGCCCATTGACCCAGCTATTGCCAAGCTGCTGGAAGAATTCAAGGATTTAGCTGAGCCGCCGACAGGAGCAGTACCACGGCCCATCCAACATCGCATTGAGATTGAGCCTGGCAGTAGGACTCCCAAAGGAGCGGTGTATAGAATGTCCCCGTGGGAGTTGGAGGAGCTACGCAAGCAGTTAGACGAGCTCCTAGAAAAGGGTTGGATTCGGCCCAGTCCGTCTCCATTCGGAGCACCTGTTTTATTTGTCCCCAAGAAGGAGGGAGAGCTCATAATGTGTATAGACTATACGGGTCTTAATGCTATCACCGTGAAGAATGCAGAGCCGCTGCCCCGTATTGACGATCTGTTAGACCGGGTGCAGT